CTCTCAAACAAAAAAACAAGTTATTCTAAGGCTGTGCTCGATGTAGCTCATGCCTTAAAATCCCAAGCACTTTGCGGCAACAGAGTGAGACCCCTGTCAAAAAAGTTTTTTAAAGTGTAACTTCTGGAACTAGGTTGCTCTGCCACTTCCATCTTTGTGTCCTGCTTCTTTCTTTTCTTTTCTTTTTTTTTTTTTTTTTTGAGATGGATTTTGCTCTTGTCCCAGGCTGGAGGCAATGGCACGATCTCGGCCCTGCAACCTCCGCCCTCTGCTGGTTCAAGCGGATTCTCCTGCCTCAGCCTCCCGAGGTGTGAGTAGTTTCTGGGGGTGCAGGTGCCACCTCCAAAGTGCTGGGATCAACATGTCTTTATACGCCTTTCTTCACAAAAGAAACAACTGAAGAACAACCAGAAGGTGCCAGCATATTCTGTGAACATCAGCAAAAAACCTACGTAAATAAATGGTGGCAAAAGCGAATTATTTACACAGGAGAAGCTACCTCCCTGCCTCTCCTAAAATATCGAAAGATATCATAGTGATAAACACAAAGCCAACATCCATAATAAATTTTATTTTGCCCAGTGAAACAAAAGGCAAGTTAGATTACTGTTGGAATGATGAGTGGTGTTAATTTCAATTCTTTATAATATTTTCTTATTTTAAGAAGAAGTACTTGTAGTGGTAATTTTGGGATATGACTAAATGAATGTGCCTTTCATGTGGAAGAATAAACAAACAAGAATATTGGGCCAGGCACAATGGCTCATGCCTGTAATCCCTCCATTACCTTGGAGGCCAAGGTGAGGGGATCACTTGAGGTCAGGAGTTTGAGACCAGCCTAACATAGTGAGACCCTGTCTACAAAAAATAAAAATAAAAAAAATTAGCTGGGCATGGCGACACATGCTACTCAGGAGGCTGAAGTGAGAAGGTGGCTTGTTCCCAGGAGGTTGAGGCTGTAGTGACCTATGATTGCACCACTGCACTCCAGCCCGGATGACAGAGTGAGACCTTGCCTTAAAAAAAAAAAAAAAAGTCAAGGAGGATGAGGAGAGAATGGGGAGATAAAAATGTTACCAGCTAGTACAAAGCCTCAAGAGCCCAAGACAGGCCCATGAGATAAACGGAAATGAGAGAAAGAACATCTCAGAGCTCGCCACAATAACCATCCTGGAAAACATCTATCCACTCATATCTTCCTTTATTCTCATACTCATCCAATATTTTTTTGGGTACCTACTGATTGCCAGGCATTGTGGATACGAGGGTGAATGAAACAGAAAAAAAGTCTGCTCTCTTGGGCCTTATTTTCTAGTTATCTGTGATAATTATCTCGGAAAATGTATATAAAACACACAGCACAGTGTATGACAGTCAACAAAGTAGTGGCCACCACTACTTTGATAGTCATGTTGGTTTCATGTTTGCAATGACCAGGAGTCAGGGGTTAACTGAAAGACCCATACACATATCCATTATTCAAATAACTTTCTATGTGCTCCAAGCTGACTTTGCCAAATAGTATGAGCAACACCCCTAATGCTGCAGGGTGCACAGTGTCTCTATAGTGATAGTGTGAGTAGTTTCTGGGGGTGCAGGTGCCACCTGCTTCCTTGGTTGTTTCTAGGGAGCTGGCACATGCTACCTTTGTGTGTGGAAGTGGCTGTGGTGCAGGCCAAGGCAGGAGGATGAGTTGGAAGCAGGGAATATCTGGGAAAGCAGTTCATCTGGCCCTGGCTCAGAGATCCCTATCCACCACAGTCCTGCTTCTACAGGGCAATAGCGGACAACCCATTCTTTTCCTCTAATCCTACTGAAATGTTTGGCTTTCTCCCTCCCTCCCTTCTTTTTCCACTCTCCCTCTTCTCTTTCCTGCATTTCCTCTCTTGACTGAGGCCTGTGTGGGGCTTGCTGGTGCACTGTGCACCTACTGCTTCTTCCTAGGGATCCCCTGGAGAGGACTGTCCACTCAACACCAAGATGGGGAAGGACTTACTGAAAAAGACCCACATGACCACCACTCTCCTGAAGATTTTCCAGGGATCATTTCCCTGAACCCTCCCACCAAGCCTACCAGCCAGGTTCCTCTGACCACTCTACTTTGCTATGGGACCTTGGAAGAGTCCCTTCTTTTCCAAGAGGATTTACTAGATGCCAGGCACTATTCTCAGCATGTAACCCTTCTAAACAAGTAACTTATTCAACATACATGTAATGGTGTGAGGTAGGGACTATGATTAACTTTGTGATTCAAAATTCTTAAATTCATAGATGAAGAAACTGAGGCACAAAATAGTGGATGCAAATCACAGTCAGCTCTCCTAACCCTGACTCAGAGGCTGAGTTTTGTCCCTCAGCCTGGACTGCAGGAAACCTACAAGCAAGCTCTCAAGTGGGTGCAGGAGGAGGAAGGTCTTATGATCTTGGGGAAATTTGGTACAGATACTTCCAGGAGCAAGCATCCTCCAATATCTGACTAAAGAGCAATACTGACTCAGGCAAGGAGAAATTGAGTGGGCAGAGTAAGGAGGAAAGCAAGTCTGAGGTCATGGCAGCACCTGTGCCCTGACACTGCTGGAAAGATGTGTCACCAGAAGGTACCTACAGGAAGCAATGGGATTTCATTCATCCAATCTGATCTTACACTCTGATAGTGACATGTGGAACAGCTGCAGTTACATGCCTGCATGGCTGCATCGTAGAAAGGCACATTGTGTGGATCAGAGGCTATTAGCCAGTCAGGGTTTGGGGAAGCATCTGATTTTTTTCAGCAGAGTAAGTAACGGCACAGTGCATCGAGTCCCCAGTGCATTTCTCTGTATCTTGATCTTCCTCTATTTGTGCTTTTCTGTTCCTCTGCCTGGAGGTTTTGCCTCCATTCAGGTCTCTGCTCTAAAACAGACCTTGTGTGTACTTTATCGCAAACAGTTCCCTTTCCACCCCTCAGTAGCGGGCCCCACTCCCTTTGTTTCGCCCTTTCCCAACCTGAAAACGTGCCATTTACCTGCCAGCTTGCTTATCTCCATGGAGCCCATGCTCCACTAGGGTAGGAAGTTTGAGTTATTTCTGCTGCATCCTCTGCCCTTGCAAAAGTATCTGTCACCTGGGAGGCACTTAGCACAAGTACTTGTTACCTAAATGGACAATGTGAAAAATCAGCACGCTCCATTCTCAGGCCACACTGCTGGAGATGACTGTATGGCTTCGGGGTCGGGGCTGGCCCTCTGAGCGTGATGCGGTACACAGAGGAAGGTGGGTGCACAAGGACCGTGCTGTTCTGTAGGAATCCTATGAGGAATCTGCTGGGTACTATCACAACCTGGAGTCAGGGTAGTTCGGGAGGCACTGAGGTTGCTGCGAGATGGCTCATGCGAGCAGGCAAGCTCCCTTGCCTGGATGGAAGAAGAACTCAGCAAGCGAGGCACTGAGGACCCTTCCACTAAGTAAGGCTTTCTTACCCATCTCTGGTTCCAGGGGTTACATAGGTGGAACCAGGATGCCTACAGCAGAGCTTCAGCAAGGACACGAAATAAACAGAAAGTGACAAGCAGGCTAGCAGAATGGACTGAAGGCTGTTCTGTAAACCTCTCCCAGCCAGCAGTAATTCTCTGGCTTTCTCTGGGCCTGTGTGTCAGTTTGGTCTAGGCATTTCCAAGCAGCCCCTATACATATCTTGTTCACTCATAAATTTCCCTGTGTCTGTCTTCTGTCTCCATCTACATCAGCCTTGACTGTATTCCACCTACATGGTGCTGGGGGCCTGGGCCTGTGAACCTCTGACCCGTCCTCTCCTGCCAGGCTCAGGCCCGGTTCTCAGCCGCTGTTGTTGCCGGGCCCCTCCCAGGGTGCCTGACTCCAGATCTCTGCCACAGATTCAGGACTGGACTCAAAGGCCTCCTCTCTGAGGCACCTTCCCTGACCTGCTTTAGCAGCCACTCCTGATTCTTCTGACTTTGCCCTGTTGTAGGGACTTCCTAAATGGTTGCGACCCATGCTCTCCATGTATGCCTGGTCTGAGGACAGCAGCACCTGGCCCCAGCACGTGCTCGATGGTGATCAGCTGACTGATGGCCGTGTGCTCTGGGTTTGGTGCCAGGCATGTGCTTCCTTCCAGTCTCCCAACAGCCCCCAGAGCTGTTCCGACTCCAGCGTACAGCTCATGTCCAAAGGTGGGGAAGTCAGCTAAGGACCCACTTCATTCTATCCAGAAGCATAAGACAAAGAGAAACTGAATGAGTGGCCAGAAGAGGGAGTGTTTGCCAGGGAGGGCTGGACCTCTGGGGTCTCTGGTGACCTGGCGGTAGAGCCACCTGGATAACGTGTGGCTGGATAATGAACAGGTGAAACAGGCCAGGCTTTGCACTGGGAAAGGGGAGCAAGGGGAATGAAGAAAGCGCCAGACAGTTCCCATGGAAGTTTATTTTATGTTCCTTGCAAACAACATGTGGCCCCAGCTGTGATTCCAGCTGCCCTCTCTGACTTCTGTTCCTGAGCCTGGCTCCTGCTCTTCATTCAAACTGCACCAGCTGCATAAGCAAGGGCAGCGGGGGGCTCCACTGCATGTCAGCCCGCTGCATGGCCTGCAGCTGCTTCTGTATCTCAGCCTGCAACTGGCACAGCTTGTCCTTGTTCACGGGACCCCAGGAGAGGCCATGCAGGTACATGCAGCAGTCGACTGGGATGGGATAGAGTACCTGCTTCAGCTCCATCAGCCCTGTTGTGTGCTCCAGCAGGCTCAGGAGGCAGGCACTGGAGATGGGGTTGTCGGAGAGGCTCAGGGAACTGAGGTGGGAGCAGCGGCACAGGGCGGGCAGGAGGGCACTGAGGTGGGCATCCTTCAGCCGGCAGTGGTTCAGGTCTAAGTGCTGCAGCGTCCCTGAGACCTCCCTCAGCAGGGTCCCCAAGGGCCTAGGGATCATGTAGGACAGGTTGTTGCCACTCAGATCCAGCTTCTTCAGGCAAGTGGTATGAGGGCTCTGGGACAAGTAGGTGATGTCAGTGTCGAGAAGCCTGCAGTAGCAGATCTCCAGGGAATGCAGTGGAACCCACAGACAGCTGAGGAGAGAAGGGTGGCTGTGTGAGGGTAGGGCCCAGGCCCCCCGCCCGGAACACCTACTTGTCCCTGAGGAGGCCAGTCCTATGGCCACCCCCTCATTAGGGAAGCCATTTACCAGCAGGGTCAGAAGCATGTCCTTTGGTGTCCCAAGGCCTGGCTCTCTCTCAACAGACCTACCAGGTCCTCCACGAACCCCTCCAACTCTAAGTTTCTCTTTGGTGAAAGGGAGACTCACATTATCCATACCCAATATGACTGCTGAGAGGAGCCACCTGAAAGAGTTTATCTGATGAGAAGCAACCATAGGCTGAGCCCATTATTCCTCAGGTTTGGGTTTGGGGAAGCTGCTGCTCAGGCTTCCATTTAAGCCAGGGCCGGGGGTCCTGAATGCCCTATCTGGAAATTTCTAGGAGACGTGCACAGAGTGGATACTGATTGTCCTTCAGAGCTCTGTACCCACCTGTCTGGGGCAGTATGAGCTCAGGAGAGGCCTAACCTGTGCTGTCTCAGGATCTTTTCTTGGGAACCAGTGTAACATTCAGCAGTGCCTGAAAAGGTTTGCTGAGTAAATAAATGTATTATTAGGACAGGCGCAATGGCTCACACCTGTAATCCCAGCACTTTGGGGAGCCGAAGTGGGTGGATCACCTGAGGTCTGGAGTTCAAGACCAGTCTGGCCAACATGGTGAAACCCCCGTCTCTACTAAAAATGCAAAAATTAGCCAGGCGTGGTGGCCCATGCCTGTAATCCTAGCTACTTGGGAGGCTGAGGCAGGAGAATCACTTGAACCGGAGAGGTGGAGATTACAGTGAGCCGAGATCATGCCACTGCACTCCAGCCTGGGTGACGGAGACTCTGTCTCAAAAAAAACACTAAAAAATTAAATGAAATACATGGAAGCCCACTGTTTTGGACTAAGCTCCTGCACTAGACCTCAAAAGACCAGAGCAAACCAGAATGCAGTCACTTGTGCTAAGTGTCAGGTAATCAAACTGAACTTTGAAACTGGTCAGTTTTCCAAAAAACAGGAGATTCACACCAACCAATCAGAAGGGGCCCAGGATGATAAGGAAGTGTCCTCTGTTTTAACCCTATAAGGAAAGTAACTGTCAACTGACCAATCTGCTTTTTGTTTTGGCTTTTTTCATCACTTTTCTGCTTATAAAGCCAGTCTCTTCCGCTCAGCTCATCAGAGCTCTTATTCTATTTTATAGAATGGGAGGCTGTCCCAATTTGTGAATCACAAACCTAAGCCAATTAGAAGGCCAGGTATGGAGGCTCATGCCTGTAATCTCAGTACTTTGGGAGGTTGAGGTGGGAGGATGGCTTGAGGCCAGGAGCTCAAGACCAGCCTGGGTAGCAAAGCAAGACCTTGTCTCTACAAAAAAGTTTTTAAAAAATTCGCAAGGAGGCCGGGCGCGGTGGCTCAAGCCTGTAATCCCAGCACTTTGGGAGGCCGAGACGGGCGGATCACGAGGTCAGGAGATCGAGACCATCCTGGCTAACCCGGTGAAACCCCGTCTCTATTAAAAAATACAAAAAACTAGCCGGGCGTGGTGGCAGGCGCCTGTAGTCCCAGCTGCTCGGGAGGCTGAGGCAGGAGAATGGCGTAAACCCGGGAGGCGGAGCTTGCAGTGAGCTGAGATCCGGCCACTGCACTCCAGCCTGGGCGACAGAGTGAGACTCCGTCTCAAAAAAAAAAAAAAAAAAAAAAAAAACAAAAAAAAAAAATTCGCAAGGTGTAGTGGTGCGCATCTGTAGTCTTAGCCACTTAGGAGGCTGAGACGGGAGGGTAGCTTGAACACAGGAGTCTGAGGCTGCGTGAGACGTAATTGTGCCACTGCACTCTAGCCTGGGTGACATAGTGACCACCTGTCTTTAAAGAGAAAAAAAAGCCAATTAGATCTTTAAATTAAATTTGTTGTAATTTTTTTTGAGACAGAGTCTCGCTCTGTTGCCCAAGCTGGAGTGCAGTGGTGCAATCATGGCTCACTACAGCCTCAAACTCCTGGGCTCAAGCAATCCTCCTGCCTTGGCCTCCTGAGTAGCTGGGATGAAAGGTGCACTACCATGTCCAGCTAATTTTTGTTTTTGTTTTTGTTTTGTTTTTGAGATGGAGTCTTGCTCTGTTGCCCAAGCTAGAGTGCAGTGGCGTGATCTTGGCTCACTATAACCTCCACCTCCTGGGTTCAAGAGATTCTCCTGCCTCAGCCTCCCGAGCAGCTGGGATTACAGGCACATGCCATCATGTCTGGCTAATTTTTGTATTTTTAGTAGAGATGGGGTTTCTCCATGTTGGCCAGGCTGGTCTCAAACTCTTAACCTCAAGTGATCCACCTGCCTCTGTCTCCCAAAGTGCTGGGATTACAGGCATGAGCCACCATGCTTGGCCTTAATTTTTGTGTATTTATTTGTAGAAATGTGGTCTCACTTTGTTGCCCAGGCTGGTTTCCAACTCTGGCCTCAAGCAAGCTTCCCACTTCAGCCTCCAAAAGTGGATATTATTTTTACAGTAACATGCATCTTTCCCCATCAAATGTTTCCAAAGCAGATCCCAGCCATCAACTGCATCTGAACCCTGGGTTCCCAGGCTGTGCCCACAATTCCATGAGCATCTAAGAATGGGCCCCATTTCCTGTCTTGTTCCCCTGTCCTGACCTCACTTAGGAGTATTCAGGGAACTCTTTGGATGCCCCTGTCCACCCATTCACCTGAGTACATAATGTAGGTTGCCCGAGAGGTAGGAGTAAGACAGGTGCAGCTTCTGGAGGTGGCCCAGCCTGGTGAGCTGTGAGAGGAAGTAGCTGGAGGGCCGCTCGCCCCGTGAGGAGAAGGCCCAGTTGTAGTAGATGAGTTTGAGGCTGCGCAGGTTGAAGATCCTTCCCAGCTGTGTTGCAGATAGGTTTGGATCTGACAATGCCCAGAACCAGTCAAACCAGTCAAACACCTCCAGCTCCTGGATGAAATCCAGCTTGAGTGTCTTCAGGATCCCCAGCAGACTGTGGAAGGGCATCTCCTCAATGTGCAGCTTCCTACAGCAGAGATGCAGGGCCCCGTGGCTCTGTTCCACTTTCGTCAGGAGGCTGGAGAGGAACTTATCTAACTTGAAGGGGCCTCTCAGGAAAAGATCAATGTGTATTTCCACTGCTTCCCATGGCTGCTTTGGTCCTTTTTTCATATTCTCTGTTGGCTTGGGCCTGGCCGTGGCCTGGGGCATCTCTGCCTTGACTGTTGATGGTAACCAAAATGGGAACTTGGCCAAGGCTTCAGAAGCCCCTTTACTGTGGACTTGCTCAGAGTCCAGGGTGAAATCCAGCATCCTCAGTTCTGACTTCCTGTGGGGAGACAGGAGTGAGGAGATGCTGGAGAGTCCATGTGAGATGAGCGGCAGCAGTCCTGGGCCGCTCCCCAGACCCCAGTACCAGCTCGCCTCGCCTCTCCTCTCCAATGGGCTTTTCCTCCCTCACCCAGGCTCCTTGCTAGCCCCTATTCCTCATACAGCTCATACCACCACCCCTAGAAGGTAAAAAGCCCTCTCCTTAAAGCCTTGTAGCTGTACCATCAACCACTTAACTCAGAAACATATAGTTTCCCCACTTGTCCCCCGAGGCGATTTAACGCTCCCGTCCCCTGGATCTCAGCTCACCCTCCCTCTGGCTCTGAGCTGAGGTCTTGCTCCCAGCATCCCCCTTACCTGGGACAAGCCGTGTGGGCAGAAAAGGCCTCCAGCCCATCCACCACAGCTTGCAGGCTGTCTTGGTTGGGCCACTGCACTATCAGAGAGCCCAGACGGAGAAAGGGGAAGGGCCAGGCCTGCACCAAGGCCTTCAGAGCCTTTCTGTGCCCCTTCGCAAATGCAGCAGTGAGTAGTGGCGGGAAAAGGTTCACTGTGAGCTGTTCCAACACCAGTAGAACTGAAGCCTCATTGCTCAGCAGGCTGTGGGCTGCAAGTTCCAAGAGCCTGAGAGGTGCTGGGTGGTTCACCTCCATGGACCTGGAGCAGAAGAAGGTAGAAATCCTCAGAAGACTAATGGCTCAGCATCGCTCCCAGGCCAACGCGGGAGATGCAAGCCTTTTGCATCTGTCACAGAACCAAATGCTGGCTCCTCCCGCCATTCAGGACCAAAACCCCAACATTCAGGTCTTGTAAGCCTGAGACCCTGAAGCCCTCAGGCCTTGGGGACATGGGATCCAGAACCTCAGGGGTTTAGATCTATTCCTTGCCAGGCTGTAGAGGCTTTGAATTGACCCACACTTTCCTCTTCTGCCTTCACCATTAAGATCATGAACACATAACTGAGGACACTGTCCCCAAACTCCACATCAATTCTCCCAAAGCGTATGTAGATTCTGAGCAGTTCTCATCACTTCCAGTTTTACCAAGCCATTATCTCTTGCCCCTATTACTGCAGTGGCCTTCTAACTTGTCTCCCTGCTTCTGTCCTTGTGCACCCTGTGGTCAAACTCAGATCATGACACTCGTTTCCTCAAAACTCTAGTGGCTTCATTTTCACTGTGAATACAATCCACCCTGCAGCTGTGCCTCAGAGTCTAGCATCCGAGTATCTCAGGGTCCACCTCCTGTCACTCCCCTCACTATTCACTCTGCACCAGCAACCTACACTGGACTCTATTTCTCTCCTCAAACACCAGCAACGCCCTGCTTCAGGGCCTTTGCGCTTCCTGTTTCCTCTGCCTAGAAGTGTCTTCTCCCAAATATCCTCATGGCTGGCCCCCTTACTTCATTCAGGTTTCTATTAAAATTTCACCCTGAGAGGTCTTCCCTGACCACCCAAGTAGAATAGTACTCTCATCCCTTAATTACAGCTTTATCTTTCCTAACCTGATTTACAGCACTTCTTCTATCACCCCTTTTCTGTTTCTGTCTCTCTTACACACACACACGCACGCGCACACACATAAATGCACACACTCGCATATTATCTGTCTCCTCTCTGCTAAATTATAAGCTCCATGAAAAAAGGGGCTGTATCTGCTTTCATTACTGCTATAGTCTGAGTGATAAACATAGTTCCTGACATACACCAGACAAGCAGTATATATTTTAAATGCATTTCAAGAGCAAGTTTGCACAATAGACGCTTACCACAATCCCACTGATGGAGTTGAGGGTAATATGGAATGGAGGATTTTTTTTTCTATGCTCTCACAGAGCATCAGGTTCAGGTTAGTTATGGATTCTTTCAACTGCCCAAATGCCTCCTTTTTTCCGTGAAATGCGGGAGTGTAGACTCCCGTGAAATGCGAGTGTAGACCTCATCCCATCACTTTCCACAGTCCACCACAGAGCAAGGCTTTGTGTAAGGAGGAAGAAGTTCTAGACCTGCACTGTCTGATGCGGGAGCCCCAAGCCACATGTGGTTACCGAGTGCTTGAAATGTGGCTAGCGTGACTAAAGGACTGGATTTTAAATTAAATTAAATTCTAATTAATTACAATCTAAATAGCTTCACGTAGCTAGATGCTACACTTTTGGACAGCAGCATTCTAGAATCTATGCTAGTCAGAGACAAGAAACATTCATTTAGTCTCACAAGCTATGAAATCCATTTGCATGAGGCCACTATGGCCTTGGTAATAAACTGGGCGAGGACAAAGGACAGTATAAGAAAGGACAATTATTGGCCAATCATACATTGGAAGCTACCTAGCAAAGGCTTAAATACTAGCAAATCAAATCAAAGGCCTGACACATTAAATCTATAAATATCTCTCACAAATAGTGATGAAGTACAATTGAGCAAGAATGGTTAATGTTAGGTTTATTAATTATTAATGTCAATGCATTTGGGAAAATCAAAGAAGAAACAGAAGGGAAGCTTCTGAACCTGATACTTAGTAGTGGTGTTTTATAAACATTGCTTTTTTTTTTTTTGAAGACAGAGTCTTGCTCTGTCACCTAGGCTGGAGTGTAGTGGCACAATCTTGGCTCACTGCAAGCTCCGCCTCCTGATTTACAGCGCTTCTTCTATCACCCCTTTTCTGTTTCTGTCTCTCTTACACACACACACGCGCGCACACACATAAATGCACACACTCGCATATTATCTGTCTCCTCTCTGCTAAATTATAAGCTCCATGAAAAAAGGGGCTGTATCTGCTTTCATCGTGAGTCCTGCCCGTCTCGCCTCCCAAAGTGCTGGGATTACAGGCCTTGAGCCACCACGGCCCGGCCGGAGAACTTTGAGTTTTAATTTAATTTTTTTTTTTTTAGAGACTGAGGGTCCTTACTATATTGCCCAGACTGGCTTGAATTCCTGGGCTCAAGCAGTCCTCCTGCCTCAGCTCCAAGTAAGCTGGGACTACAGGTGCATGCCACTGCACCTGACTATCTGTATATAATCTATGCTTAGTTTGATGAAGGATGGACAGTCATGTACAAGTATGATTGGACAAAAAGCCTGTGGTCTAATAGGTAATAAGCTGGGGAGAACTTAACAAGGCCTGTTCGTTCAAGATTCTTCTTGGCCCTCTGTGTAGCATTTCTTTTCCTCCTGGTATAGGACAGGACACCTGTCACATGGGGTCTAACGACCTACTTTCAGGAGAGGAAGGTCAGAGAAATTCCTTTATGACCTAGCTCTCACACAGAAAAGGCAGAGGAAAGTCAGAGAGAGACCTTCTAAGTGCCGTATTTTGGGGTGACATTCTGAGCCACAACACCATTTTTTTCCTACACTATGTACTAATTTTTGCTCTTTTTATTGCCATAGACAGCCCCATTTTTATGTGTCTTATTGCACTGGCTACAACTTTCCCAGACAGATGTTGATACTGTCTGCTTGTTGTCTAATTCAGACATCAACAAAATTACCATCGAATTAAGCTCCTCTTCTCTCTCCTCTCTCTCCTCTCTCCTCTCAACACACACCACACATTATATATATGTACTATATTTGGTTTATGTATAAGAAGAGAAAAACGAATTTTTGGATTAGTCATGGAGAAATATGAGTAAGACAAAAGGAGTATGAGACTATGAGCCAAGTTTTAATAAAGTGGCGAAAACAGCGGGCTAATTGTTCAGATCCCTCCTTGGGCAAGCCCTTCCCGGTCTTTGGAAATAAGGAATATGCCTTTCCTTCTGGTATTAAGGGGGAGCACCTTCACAGGAGGTCTTATACCTACTACAGAGGGAAGGTCAGAAAAATCCTGCCTGCCATGCCGTTTCTCAAACTTCCTTTCAGCCTTAAAATATTCGTAGCTAGTTGCTGTATTTTGTAAGGCACCATCGCTAAACTCCATCAAGTCACCTGCTAGAAGCAGTACCAAGATGCCAAAAACATCCAGATTTACCTTAGGGGAGCCTTCCTATAAGGGGCATTGGGAGTGAGGCAGGGAAGGCGTGGAAGACCCACAGACCTGGCGCGCTGTCATGTGTTTGGGAAGCAGAGCTGGAGGGAAGGTTGAGTGGAAATGTGTGGCAGTCAGGAAGATTTGGCAAAGCCATAAGGCGGTCCTCAAGCCAAGGTGGTTTGTCGACAGGAGTGGTGTCTCCCAGGAACTAGTCTGTTCACATTGTTCCCAGGAACTAATCTGTTCAGTCATTGTTGGTGAGCGCAGATGTGGTGGTATGATTGGGCCTTAAGGTGCCAGGGTTCCTGTGCCCTTGTCAGGTGCATTTCCTGAGTTGTGGAGGGTGCAGGGGCATCACTCTGCATGGTGGCCACACCATCTTCGATCTTGTTGTCTGACTTTAAAGCAATGTTGGCTGTGCGCGGTGGCTCACGCCTGTAATCCAGCCCTTTGGGGAGGCTGGTCAGGGCAGGATCACTGAGCGTCAGGAGCAACCATCCTGGCTAAGGCAGAACCCCGTCTCTACTTAAAAATTCACAAAAAAAGTAGCCGCTGGGCGTGGTGAAGGCGCTGTGGTCCAGCTCTCGGGAGACTGAGGCAGGAGAATGGCATGAACCCATGAGGCGGAGCTTGCAGTGAGCAGACTTTGTGCATTGCACTCCAGCCTAGGTGACAGGCAAGACTCTGTCTCAAAAAAAAAAAAGCAATGTTTATAAAACACCAGCTAGCTAAGTTCAGGTTCGAGAAGGCTTCCTCTGGTTCTTTTTGATTTTTCCCAATGCATTGACAATTAATAATTAATAACCTACCATTAACCATTCTTGCTCTCAATTGTAATTATCACTATTTTGTGAGAGATGATTTGATTAGATTGTAATGTGTCAGGGCCTGTGATTCTGATTTGCTATATTTAGCCTTTGCTAGGTAGCTTCAATGTATGACTTGGCCTTAATTGTCCTTTCTTATTATGTCTTTGTCCATCGCACAGTTATTACCAAGGGCCATAGTGGCCTCATGCAAATGGATTTCCATAGCTTGTGAGACTAACATGATATGTTTCCTTGTCTCTGGACTAGCATAGATTCCTAGGAATGCCTGCTGTCCAAAAGTGTAGATCTAGCTCGTGAAGCGATTTTAGATTTGTATTATTTAGAATTTAATTTAATTTAAATCAGTCCTTTAGTCACGCTAGCACATTTCAGAGCACTCGGTAAGCACCATGTGTGCTTGGGCTCCAGCAGGTCAAGCGGTGCAGGTCTGAACTTCTTTTCTCCTTACACAAGCCTTGCTCTGTGGTGGGACGTGTGGAAAGTGATGGGATGAGGTTTACACTCGCATTTCACAGGCTGAGTCATACCTCACGCAATTTCAAGAGAAAAAAAGGAGGCAATCTTGGGCAGTTGAAAGATCCAATAACTCAACCTGAACCTGAGAATTCTGTGAGAGATAGAAAAACATGCACTCCATATCCATATTCACACCTCAAATCCATCAAGTGAGGATTGATAGGTAAATGCGTTATTGTGCAAACATTGCTCTTGACAATGGATTTAAAAAATATATAACTTTATTTGGGGCCCCTTTGTTTTTTCTAGCAGTGAATATGTCAGGAAACTAATGTTTATACATACAGAGACTATAAGCAGTAATGAAAGACAGATAAGCGCCCTTTTTTCATGAAGCTTAATAAATTTAGCAGAGAGGAGAACGATAAATAGTGCGAGTTGTGATGCATTTATGAAATGTAAAACGTGCGTCATCGTGGTGTGTGTGTGTAAAGAAAGAGACCAAGAAAAAGCCAGACCAACAAGGAAGGAGTGATCAGAAGAAGTGCAAACAATAGAATAAAAAAAATTCAGGATTAGGAAAGATAAGCATGTAATTAAGGGCAAATGCAAGAGATAATATTTACTTGGCGGTGGTCAGAGACAAAGACTCTCAGGGTCAGAAAATATTTACATAGAACTGAATGAAGTAAGGGGGCCCAAACATCAATGCGGCATATTTCTGAGGAGCAGAGACACTTCTACTACAGGCAGAGGACACAACAGCCGACAGCACGCAAACGGCCCCTGAGCACGGGCTTGGCTGGATGTTTGGCCGACGAAAATAACGACCGTAGCCTCGCTCAACCCCGCCCCCGCCTTCCGCTGGTGTCAGAGTGAATGTGAGGTGAAGGAGCGGTGGGACCTGACGCCATACTTCGGCATGCTCCGACCTCTGAGCACCAGTGCCGGGTCGGATCTTGTATCACAGTTGAAAATGACGCCCAGTGTGGTGTTTGTGTGTGTGTGGTTTGATGGAA